ATATTCTGATTGTTTAAAGTCTGTCAACCAAAGAACTGATGATTGTCCTTTTTTTTTTTTACATTTAGGAGCTGGATCCAGTCACTCTTCACAACCAGGCCCTAATGAACATGGACACCAAGCCCACAGAGGGTTTTGAGAAACTTGCTTTTCTCCTTCAGCAAAACCCCTTTCCTCCTGTCACTTTTGGCAACTTACTATTGCTTTATTGTAAATATGAGGTTAGTGTGCTTCATTGCTAACAGTTCTTAGCAATCAGGAAACTGTTTGGTAGGGGTATATTAATTATGCACTTTAGCTTTCATAGAAACTTTAAAGAAACTTCTTTAAGGGGTGTATGAGGCTTTGCTTTTGTTGTTTATAGTACTTTGACCTTGCTGCAGATGTCTTGGCTGAAAATGCTCATCTCACTTACAAGTTTCTCACACCGGTAAGGCAGTATTGATTTTGTAGCAATTTCATGTTTTATTTCCCTTCAGCCTCGTAGTATTTACATTGTTAGTTTTATGAAAATTCAATCATGTATTTACAAGTCTCCACTTTCATTAGCCCAGATAGTCGTTCCAATAATAACGTCCACATTGATTGATTCCTCTGGCCATAAGGCATTTACAAGTAATAACACACCAGGTGATACTTGCAGAGTTGCCTCATGCATATTGACATATCAGTCCGAACTCACATCAAGACGGTAGGGCTAAAGTTTTGTTCTCCTGTTTATAGTACCTCTATGAGTTTCTGGATGCCATGATCACATGTCAGACAGCACCTGAGGAAGTAAGTGATCTTTTCCAGAGTCTTGGCAAGTATCTAGTGAGCATTTGTTATTGAATTAATTGACTTTTCATCTGACGTAGGCTTTCCGAAAATTTGATGAAATTGCTGGAAAACTGACTGAGCAACTGCGCAAGGTTACGAAACAGGTTACAGCTTGGCATTTTGCCTTTCAACAATTCACAGCATTTATTCCTGCTTGTGTCAAATGCTACTCCCTGAATACACCATTATGATATCAGTATGTCTGGCACTGAAATGGCTAATTAGTTTAAAAACTCTAAAAACTCTTTCCTCAAAGGTGCAGGAAGCAAGGCACAACCGGGATGATGAATCCCTAAAAAAATATGTCCAAGACTATGACGAGGTTCTTGAGAGGTAAATGTAAGATTAATTTACATTGATTACATTTATGCATTTAGCAGATGCTTTGTATGAAGTGACTTACAAAAAGGTGATTACTAAAGATTCATCCTTAAATTTCTGTTCTTTATGTAACCATGTAATATGTTCACCATATACAAATACTTGAGTGTGTTTTTTTTTCTTAAGGTACATCCCTGTACTAATGGCACAGGCCAGAATCTACTGGAACCGTGAGAACTACAGCATGGTGGAAAAGATCTTCCATAAGTCACTGGAGTTCTGTAATGAGCACGACACTTGGAAACTTAATGTTGCTCATGTGCTCTTCATGCAAGACAACAAATATAAAGAAGCCATTGGCTTCTACGAGCCCATCGTTAAGAAGCATTATGAGAATGTAAGTTTAAATGTTACTGAATGTGCTTTTCTGGTCACTTTTAATGTATTTTGAGTCCCTTTAAAGACTAATGCCTTTCCATAAAAGCCAAGTCCACATTTAAATAAAAAAATAAGAATGATCTCTTATGAAAAACAAATGACAAAAAACGGAGTCAGTCCTCAGTGCTAGATAACAATAACCTAAATCGGTCAACCAGTAATATGGTATTTTGCATAAACAGTGGGATCCAGATGTGTTTTTTAAAAACTGTAAAATAAGACCTAGTTTTCTTTGACTCATGGATATTAGGAAATAAAATAACTTGTGCATGCAAAATTACAGAATAGAGCCATTCGATTTATTTTGTTAATTTGTTTTGCTAATATTTTATATACTATATACATTTGTATATATTTATTATATTTTATCATATAAATAATATTTTATTTGTCTTCTGTGATGGTGGGTGACATCTGGCCGTACTTGGCAGACAATTATTTAACAAATCTAAACCTTTCAAATGAAAACATGTTCTTTGCTCCTCTGCTTGCTAGCTGGAACAGTGTAACATTCAAGAGTGTCCCTGCAAAACAAAAGCCTCGGTAAAATGATCTGCGACTCTTGGAGTCTTACTGTGTGACTGCATGGAGTTTGCGGCATGATGTTTGATTCTTTTGTTTTATTTCGAAGAGTGTCTACTGTTATTAGCATCCTCACAGTTAATCAACAGTCACATTTTGTCCTGTAGATCCTTAACGTCAGTGCGATTGTCCTTGCTAACCTGTGCGTGTCATATATCATGACCAGCCAAAATGAAGAGGTAAAAATTCAAATCTTATTTAACTATAATTGATACCACTGGAGCAGCTTTGTTTCATCATATTTTTCTTTCTGTGTTTTTTATTTTTATTTTACCCTTCGGGTCTGCGTCTGTGCGTGTACAGGCAGAGGAACTGATGAGGAAGATAGAGAAAGAAGAGGAGCAAATCTCGTATGATGATCCAGACAAAAAAATCTTTCATCTGTGTATTGTCAACCTTGTAATAGGGTATGTACAATATATTTAGGTTACATTTTATTTTTAGGTGTCCTTGTTACAGTGTAATTATACATCAAAGTACTGAGTAATATTAAGTAACTACATGTATTTACTATATGGTTAGGGTTTGGCTTAGAGTTACTTGCATGTAATTATGCATAATTTATTGTTATTATAATAGTAAGTACATGTAACTTGTAACAAGGACACCTTAATATAAAGTCTTACCTATTTTTTACACAATTGTGTTAAATCAATTCTTAAGAACATCCTCTATGAACATTTATCTTATACAGTTCGTACAGATATTGTTTTCATTTTTTTTTTTACTTTTTGAAATATCACACAAATCTGAAATATCATAATAACATAAGATGACATTGTAAAAGCAGTCTGTGTATATTGCACTGCCATTCAAATGTTTGGTGTCAGAATGATTTTAAAAAAAATAATCAAAAATCATGGTTTACACAAAATGATTAAGCAGCATTTTAAAAACATTGAAAAAAGTTTATTTTTCTTTCATAAAACTTTTAGAAAATCTTACTGACCCTAAACTTTTGAACAATATGTATGTCAAATAAAATGAGATCATCCATACCTTTCATTTTAAAGACACCTATTCTCAATGTGAATTACTTGTAAAACTTACAATGCATAATTTCTTACAGGACTTTGTATTGTGCTAAAGGGAACTATGACTTTGGCATTTCTCGTGTCATAAAAAGCCTTGAGCCATACAACAAAAAGGTAATCAATATTTCATTTAATGTTTTTAATAGCCATCTTTAGTTGAGTTTAGACAGCACATAAACTTTCACATTCCTTACTTGCTGTATTTATCTTAGTCCTGCTCTGATACAGTTATCAACATGCTATCCAGCTGCATAAATAGTGTTACTCAAGGACCTCAGCATTCTTGATCTCATGATACTGTAGCAGATGTACAGCACTGGATTGCTACTGCACTTCCTTTTAGTCTGATGTTTACTTGTTTCACTGAAATGATTTTCATGTGATATTATGTAGTCATTGTGCTTGACATGACACTGACATCCTATGTTTTCAGCTTGGAACAGACACGTGGTTCTATGCTAAGAGATGTTTTCTCTCTCTTCTGGAAAACATGGCCAAGCACATGATCATGCTCAGGGATTCGGTGGTGCAAGAGTGCATTCAGTTCCTTGAGCACTGTGAATGTAAGTACATCCTCTAAAAATTGGTTTGATCCCACTGATAGTACCTCTAAAACAGGCTCTGTATCCGGTTTCGTATGTAGCAGGACTGTGTCAATGCAGAGCTTTAATCCTCCAGTAATTCGCAAAGTATCAAAATCTAATCCAGTGATTACTAGTTCACTGTTGTTTCGATTTGTTTAATTCAGTGGGGATGAAATGCTGGTTTTTGAAAGCTGAGACACTAATTAATTTTCAATCCCGAGATTCTCCATGGGACTAATTACTTTTTTTTTACCCTCCCCTCTAGTGTACGGAAAAGATGTGCCTGCCATCATAGAGCAGCCTCTGGAGGAGGACCGCATGCACATTGGCAGGAACACCGTCACGTATGAATCACGCCTGATAAAAGCTCTCTTCTGTGAAGTCACAGGGTGGAATGAGTAATCATTAAACAGCATATAGCTATATCAGAACAAGATATTGGGCAAATATTCACCACAGACCACAATTTTCTTACACCGATTTCATGGATGGCTGGAGGTCTGACTAATAAGACATCTCAACGTGGCTACTTTGTAAGCAGCTTTGGAGAGATCATGCTGTTTCTGGACTGAATTCAAACATGCATTTTTAAGCATGCTTTCTCTATAATAAAGAACCCACAGGGGTCCACTCCCTCCAAACATGAAAGCTTAAACTAAGAGAAAATATTCACCAACAAAGGGCATTTTGTTAATTTTAACTAACCTCTGTTTGCATCCAAATAATAAAACGTGGCTATATTGAACCTTTTATGCACAATTCATTATCATTAAAATTGTATAGTTTGGTCATTTTTCCTCAGAATAAGAAATGTATCATAATACTGTATGTTTTTTTTATATATATATATATATATATATATAAAGTATACATTTTCTTGGTTTTCCCCAAAAAATTGGCCTTTCTATTTATTTTCTTTGAATCATGTTTTTTTTTTTTTTTAAATACATAGC